GTTTCGCCCTTCTCAATTAACTGCATCATATTTAGAAAATGTTGCCTAATAAAAAATTGCCTAACAAAAGAACTATTGAACAATTTAACAAGTGTTGGATTTATCAAAATACAACAATTATAGTCACTTATATCGCAATCAAACCATTTTTTACTGATGTCGTCATATTGCGCTATTAGATGAACAGTAATAATAAAATAAGAATCATTTTTAGAATCTTTATCTAAAAACTGATAAATACAAGAAGACAAAGCGTCATTGTTAATATACTTTGTAGTTTTACTAGGAAACTCGATAGTTAGCATTTTTTGTGTCGCTGTTGTTGCCTAAAAGTGCTGTGATTACATAGATTTTTTTCAGTATCCTTCTTCTAAATACCATCAGAATATTGATAACTTTGTTATCCAAGTTGCTTCACAAGCAATATTCTTAAAAAATAATAGATATATTTTTAAAATAGAGATAAACTGTAAATAAGGACTTTATCAATTTCTAGTTAAAAGAAATTACGTCTATATTATACAAATATGTATTTAAAACATATATATATTTCATTAAATATAGAGACATTATTACTATTCTTGAGAATATATAACATTATTTCAATTACTAACTAAACATAAAACACTAAAAAGCAATACAAAACTGTCCTTTAACTTTTATATAATAGGGATGGAAATGAATGACGAACAAAAAAATGCATATATCACATTGTTAAAAATTCAAGAGGTTATTCCAAAATAAAAATAAAAATATGGAAAAACTAAAGGTAAATAAAAAACAAAAAAAATTTAAAGATAGTTATTATTTAAATTTTTAATATAAAATTCGAGTACAAACTATTGAAATTACGAAAAAATTCATTCGTCATTAAAAATTATTTCTATTAAATACGAATACAAAAATATTACAATCTCTGAATTATTATAAAATCATAAAAACTTTTCTTTTCTTTTATTATTGCTAAGGTTTTTCGTCAACCAACTTCTCTATAACAGCATTTGCATTTTATACTTTATTATAAGTTATAACATTTTATATTTCAGTCGATAAAACAGTTTCGTATTCATACCTTTGCGCACAAAACTTGCTCAACTTGCCAACTTCCAATTTTAAGTAATTATTTGTTGTCTTTAGCTCGATTATTTTCGACTTTGAATATTCTTCATATTCTTCGACAAGATAATTTCTCAAAGCAGCCAAAACTAAAGGCATATTTTTTGCGTTTATTTTTTTTTTTCTGTCCCAGCGAAAATAAGTATCACTTACCATGAAAATTGTTACGCCCTTCTCAGCTAACTGCATCATATTTAGAAAATGTTGCCTAATAAAAAATTGCCTAACAAAAGAACTATTGAACAATTTAACAAGTGTTGGATTTATCAAAATACAACAATTATAGTCACTTATATCGCAATCAAACCATTTTTTACTGATGTCGTCATATTGCGCTATTAGATGAACAGTAATAATAAAATAAGAATCATTTTTAGAATCTTTATCTAAAAACTGATAAATACAAGAAGACAAAGCGTCATTGTTAATATACTTTGTAGTTTTACTAGGAAACTCGATAGTTAGCATTTTTTGTGTCGCTGTTGTTGCCTAAAAGTGCTGTGATTACATAGATTTTTTTCAGTATCCTTCTTCTAAATACCATCAGAATATCGATAACTTTGTTATCCAAGTTGCTTCACAAGCAATATTCTTAAAAAATAATAGATATATTTTTAAAATAGAGATAAACTGTAAATAAGGACTTTATCAATTTCTAGTTAAAAGAAATTACGTCTATATTATACAAATATGTATTTAAAACATATATATATTTCATTAAATATAGAGACATTATTACTATTCTTGAGAATATATAACATTATTTCAATTACTAACTAAACATAAAACACTAAAAAGCAATACAAAACTGTCCTTTAACTTTTATATAATAGGGATGGAAATGAATGACGAACAAAAAAATGCATATATCACATTGTTAAAAATTCAAGAGGTTATTCCAAAATAAAAATAAAAATATGGAAAAACTTAAGGTAAATAAAAAACAAAAAAAATTTAAAGATAGTTATTATTTAAATTTTTAATATAAAATTCGAGTACAAACTATTGAAATTACGAAAAAATTCATTCGTCATTAAAAATTATTTCTATTAAATACGAATACAAAAATATTACAATCTCTGAATTATTATAAAATCATAAAAACTTTTCTTTTCTTTTATTATTGCTAAGGTTTTTCGTCAACCAACTTCTCTATAACAGCATTTGCATTTTATACTTTATTATAAGTTATAACATTTTATATTTCAGTCGATAAAACAGTTTTGTATTCATACCTTTGCGCACAAAACTTGCTCAACTTGCCAACTTCCAATTTTAAGTAATTATTTGTTGTCTTTAGCTCGATTATTTTCGACTTTGAATATTCTTCATATTCTTCGACAAGATAATTTCTCAAAGCAGCCAAAACTAAAGGCATATTTTTTGCGTTTATTTTTTTTTTTCTGTCCCAGCGAAAATAAGTATCACTTACCATGAAAATTGTTTCGCCCTTCTCAGCTAACTGCATCATATTTAGAAAATGTTGCCTAATAAAAAATTGCCCAACAAAAGAACTATTGAACAATTTAACAAGTGTTGGATTTATCAAAATACAACAATTATAGTCACTTATAATGCAATCAAACCATTTTTTACTGATGTCGTCATATTGCGCTATTAGATGAACAGTAATAATAAAATAAGAATCATTTTTAGAATCTTTATCTAAAAACTGATAAATACAAGGTGACAAAGCGTCATTGTTAATATACTTTGTAGTTTTACTAGAAAACTCAATAGTTTGCATTTTTCTTGTTTTGCTGTCGTTGCCTCAAAGTGCTGTGATCATATAGATTTTTTAATGTCCTTCTTTTAAATATTATCAGAATATTGATGAATTTGAAATCCAAGTTGCTTTACAAGCAATATTCTTAAAAATAATAGATATATTTTTAAAAAAGAGATATATTGTAAATAAGGACTTTATCTATTTCTAGTTAAAAAGAAATTATGTCTATATTATACAAATATGTCTTTAAAACATAAATATATTTCATTAAAAATAGAGACATTTTAATTATTTTTGAAAATATATAACATTCTTTTAAATACTAAATAAACTTAAAATGCCTAAAAGCAATATAAACTGTCATTCAATTTTTTATAAAAAAGGAATGGAAATGAATAAGGAATGAAAAAATACATATAACACATTGTTAAAATCTCAAAAGATTTTATTACAATAAAAATAAAAATATGGAAATACTAAAGGTAAAAAAAAAAAAAAAAAATTCTAAAAAATTTATCATTTAAATTTTTAACATAAAGTTCGAGTATAAACTATTAAAATTACAAAAAATTTCATTTGTAATTAAAAATCATTTCCATTTAATACAAAAACAAAAATATTAAAATCTCTGGTCATTATCAGATTATAAAAAGTTTACTTTTCTTTTATTATTGCTAAAGTTCTATTTCAACCAACTTCTTCATAACGGCAATTGCATTTTTTACTTTATCATAAGTTATCACATTTTCCATTTTAGTCGAAGTGGCAACTTCAAATTCAAAACAATGCAACAAAACTGGCTTAACTTGTCAACTTCCATTTTTAAGTAATTATTTGTTGTCTATATCTTGATAATTTTTGACTTCAAATATTCTTCATATACTTTGACATGATATTTTCTTAAAGCAGCCAAAATTAAAGGCGTATTTATTGGATCTATCTTTTTCTTTATGTCCCATCGAAACAAAGTATCACTCATCAATAGTTCATTTCTTGGGCAATTAAAAAATTGCCCAAGAAAAGAACTATTTAACAATTTAACATGTGTAGGATTTATCAAGATACGACGAATAATCACTTTCATTGCAATCGAACTATTTTTCTATTATGTCATCATATTGTGCTTTATGACGAACAGTGGTAATTAAATAAGAATCATTTTTAAAATCTTTATCTTAAAACTGATAAATACCAGGAGGCAAAACGTCGCTGTTAATATACTTTGCAGTTTTACTAGAAAACTTGAGAGTTTCCATTTTTTCTTATTTTTCTGTTATTACCTTGAAGTGTTGGGAGTGGTTAGATTTTTTCTGAAGTCCTTTTTTTTTTAAATCCATTTGACAATTGATAAATTTTACATCCAAGTCATTTTACAAACAATATTCTTATAAATTATAGATACATTCTTAATAAAGAGATATAATGTAAATAAGAACCTTTTCAATTTCTAGTGGAATGATATTATGTCTATATTATACAAATATGTTTTTTCTTTAAAACATAGATATATTTTATTAAAAATATAGACATTTTATCATTGTTGAGAATATATAACATTTTTTCAATTACTTAAAAAACATAAAAACGCTAAAAAGCAATATAAAACTGTCATTCAATTTTTTATAAATTAGGGATGGAAACTAACGACGAACAAAAAAATGCATATAACGCTTTGCTAAAAAGTCGAAATGTTTTTCACAATAAAAATAAAAATATGGAAATACGAAAGGTATATAAAAAAAAAAAAAATTTAAATATTTATTGTTAAAATTTTTTCTATTAAGTTAAAGTACAAACTATTGAAATAACAAAAAAATATATTTGTAAATTAAAATCATTTCTATTAAATATGTATACAAAAACATTTAATTTAATGGTTCATGATCAGAATATATACAATTTTTATTTTCTTTTATTATTGCCAAGGTCTTCATCAACCAACATTTATATAAAGGCATTTGCATTTTTCATTTTATCATGAATTATCACATTTTCTATTTAAGTTGAAGTGGCAAATTTGTATTCAATATGATACGTATGAAACTTGTATAATTTGATGAAATCCTTTTTTAAGTAATTATTTGTTGTCTTCTGTCGACTCCTTTTGTTTTTAAATATTCTTGATATAATTTGTCATGATGTTTTCTTAAAGCAGATATAACTAAACGCATATTTTTTGCTTCGATTTTTTTTTTTTATGTCCCATTGAAAAAATGAATCACTAACAATGAATACTGTTTCGCCCTTCTCATTTATGTAGCATCACATTTCAAAAATGTGCCCTTATAAATTATTGCTCAATTAAAGAACTATTTATCAAATTTAGATGTAAATGATTTACTGTAATACAACGACTACAGTCACCTTTATCGCAATCGAACCATTTTTACTGAAGTGATCATATTTATCTATAAGACAAACAGTGGTAATAAAATCAGAACATTTATTTTTAAAATCTACAGTAATGGCCAAAAGTTCATATCCACCTCTGAATTTGAATACACAAAAACACAAAATATAGAGCACAAATAGAATAAAAGTATGAGTCAAGCAATTTTTCTAACAATCAATCAATAGTATAACAATAAAAACAAATTACAAATAAACAAATCAAAAAATTATCAGTTTTGGACAAAAATTTGAGATGGATTCAAACTTTTGGACAATACCGTACATTCGAAAACTGATAAAATACCAGGTGGTAAAACGCCACTGTTAATATATTTTGCAGTTTTGGTAGAAAACTTGATAGTTTCCATTTTTTCTTAGTCGCTTGTTGTTACCTCAAAGTGTTGTGCTTATTTATATTTTTTTAAAGCCCGTTTTTTTTAAATACCATCTGAATATTGATGAATTTTACATCAAAGTCGCTTCACAAACAATATTCTTAAAAATCATAGGTATATTTTTAAAATAGGTATATATTGTAAATGAGGACACTTTCAATTTCTAGTGGCAAGAAATTATGTCTATATTATACAAACATGTCTTATAAACATAGAAATTATTCATTGAAAACATAGACATTTTTATTATTCTTCAGAATAGTCTTTCAATTACTAAATAAACATAACACGCTAAAAAGTAATAAAAAACTGTCATTTAATTTTTTTTATAAGAGGGGATGGAATTGAATGTTGATCAATTAAACACATATAACACATTGCTAAAAATTCAAAAGGTTTTTTCACAAAAAAAAAAAAAAAAAATATGGAAATGCTCAAGGTATGTATAAAATAAAAAAATTAAAAAAAGTATTTATTATTTAAATTTTTAATATAAAGTTCGAGTACAAACTATTGAAATTACAAAAAATTACATTTGTAATTTAAAATCATTTCTATTAAATATGAATACCAAAATATTCAAATCTCTGGGTTATTATCAAATTATAAAAATTTTTTCTTATCTTTTATTATTGCTAAGGTTCTTCGTCAACCAACTTCTCTTTATAATGGCATTTGCATTTTTTACTATATCATAAGTTATCACATTTTGTATTTCAGTTGAAGTGGCAATTTTGTATTCAAAAAAATGCGCACAAAACTTGCTTAACTTGTCAACTTTTATTTTAAAGTAATTATTTGTTGTCTTAAGCTCGATTATTTTTGACTTTAAATATTCTTCATATACTTCGTCCTGATATATTCTTAAAGCAGCTAAAACTAAAGGCATATTTTTTGCGTTGATCTTCTTCATGTACCATTAAAAAAACGAATTTCTCACCATGAAAACTGTTTCGCCCTTCTCATTTAATCGCTTCACATTTGGAAAATGTGTCCTAATAAAAAATTGACCAACAAAAGAACTACTTAACAATTTAACATGTGTAGGATTTAACAAGATGCGACGAATATAGTTACTTCCATCGCAATGAAACCATTTTTCACTGATGTCATCATATTGCGCTATAAGACGAACAGTGGTAATAAAATTAGAATCATTTTTAAAATCTTCATCTTAAAACTGATAAATACCAGGTGGCAAAGCGTCACTGTTAATATACATTGCAGTTTTACTTAGATTTTTTTTCTTTTAAATACCATCTGACTATTGATGAGTTTGACATCTAAGTTGCTTCACAAACAATATTATAAAAATTATAGATATATTTTTAAAATATAGATATATTGTAAATAAAGACACTTTAAATTTCTAGTGGAAAGAAATTATGTCTATATTATACAAATATGTCTTTAAAACATAAATATATTTTATTAAAAATATTTTTATTATTCTTGAGAATATATAACATTCTTTCAATAACTAAATAAACATAAAACGCTAAAAAGCAATATAAAACTGTCATTTAATTTTTTATGAAATAGGTACGGAAATGAACGACAAACAAAAAAACACATATAACACAATGCTAAAAATTTAAAATGTTGTTTTACAATAAAAATAAAAATATTGAAATAATAAAAGAATATCAAAAAAAAAACTTTTAAAAAACATTTATTATTCAAATATTTTCTATTATGTTCAAGTACAAAATATTGAAATAACAAAAAAATATTTTAGTAATTTAAAATCCTTTTTATTAAATACGAATACAAAGTTAATATCTGGTTTACTATCAGAATATAAAGTTTTATTTTTTTTCTTTTATTATTTCAAAGGTTCTTAGTCAACCAAATTTTTGTAAAGGCATTTGCATTTTTTACTATATCATAAAATATCACATTCTCTATATTAGTTGAATTGACGATTTCATATTTAAAATGATACGCATAAAACTTGTTTAATTTGTCGACCTCCGTTTTTAAGTAATTATATGTTGTCTTCAGCTTGATTCCTTTTGACTTCGAATATTTTTCATAAAGAAGGAAATTATATCTATATTATACAAACATGTCTTCAAAATATAGACATTTTTTATTGAAAATATAGACATTTTTATTAATCTTGGAAATATATAACATTCTTTAAATTACTAAATAAACATAAAATGCTAAAAAACTATCTTTAAATTTTTTATAAAATGAGGGTAGAAATAAAAGATGGACAAGAAAACACATATAAGGCATTGCTAAAAAATCAAAATGTTTTTTTACGATAAAAATAAAAAAATTTAAATAGTAAATAAATATTTGAGAAAAAAACTTAAAAAATATCTATTATAATACTTTTTACATTAAGTTCAAGTACAAATTACTCAAATTTAAAAAAAAATACATTTTTTATTTAAATTCTTTTCTATTAAATTCGAATACAAAAATATTTAATTCTCTGGTTTATCATCAGATTATACAATTTTTCTTTTTTTTAATTTTTCTTAAAGGTTTTTAGTCAACCAACTTTTCCATAAGCGCATTTGCATTTTTTACTTTATAAATGATCACATTTTTTAATTTAGTTGAAGTGACAATTTCCTATTCAAAATGATATGCATGAAACTTTTTTAATTTGTCGACTTCCTTTTTGTAGTAATTATTTGATGTCTTTAGCTAGATTACTTTTGACTTTAAATATTCTTCATATACTTCAAGCCTTCCCGAGAAAGGCGTGCAGTTTCTTATCTCGTTTAATCACAAAAACGTTTTTCTTATCTCGTTTAATCACAAAAACAAGATAGGGAACGTGATCACAGCCATTTGTGCATGTTTTTATTGCTGAAAAAGTGCTTTGTGTTGCTGACAAATTAAAGTAAACTTAAATAGAAAACAATAATAATAGTTTTAATAATTTGTGTGTTGTTTTTATTTATTGGTTTTTCTAAGTGGTTATTATTATTCAATTATTATTATTACTCAAAGCAAAAAAAAAAAAAAAAAAAAAAAAAAAAAAAAAAAAAAAAATGGTTTTAGGCATTAAGAAGGATGACTTTTCCATATTTTATGTGTTTTATCTTTTAAAGAGGAAAGAGAAAATTTGGTTACTGTTTGTAAAATACATTTGTATAATTATAATGTAACAAGTTTATATCAAGAGTTAAATTATACGAATGTGATTTGTAAACTTGTAAAATTAAAAACTTTAGTTCATGCAAAGCTGTGTACTTTGTTTATAAGGAGCAAATTATTCAAAGTTTTTTTGCAAGAAAGTTACAGAAAACAAAACAAAAATAAAAAACTTACGACTAATAAAGTAATAACACTTTAGTCACTAACTGCATTATAAAAGTAATAAAACTATAATATTATTATTACATTTATAAAGCACTTATTACTTTTAAAGTTCGTTCTCTGTTCAAACAACATTATTAATTCCAAACATTTATTAAAGTAGAAAGGATCTAGAAAAAATAATGTGGATATTCAAATACTATTAAAAACTTCACAGATCACTTAAACAATGTTATAAAAAAGTACTTTATAAAAAGTATAAAATTATGAAAAAAGTTACGTAAAAACAAGCGTTTATTTTTAAATCAACCAATATAAAATTTTTATTGGTCAATTTTAAAATTAACGCGGGTTTTTACAGTCCATTAGTAAATTTTTCATAATGCTAAACTTTTAATATGATACGTTTTTATAAAGTTGTTTGTCACATTTTTATAAGTTATTTAAGTTTTAATATCATTTGAACATTCACTTTATTTTTCTAGATATTTTTCTACTTCAATTAAAATTTGGGAATAATAATGTTGCTTGAACAAAGAATGAATTTCAAAAGTAATAACACTATTATAGTGTTATTGCTTTTATAATGCAGTTAGTGACTAGAGTGTTTTTATTTTTGTAATTGTAAGTTTATTGTTTTATTTTTTATTTTTTCGCTAACAAATTTAAGTTGATTTTCCATTTAAAAACAAGGATCAAGCTTTTGTATAAACTAAAATTTTAAATACTAGATATTTTTCTAGATTTTGCGTTTTGCATTCGCTTAATTTAACCCTTGTTGTTACATTAAATTATACAAATAAATTTGACAAACACATTGCAATTTGTATTTTTTGCTATTCTTTCGAAAATCATTCTTTTTATTGTAGTCTTCAAAATTATTTTTTTTTGCTTCGCCTTATTTAATTTTGTTGCTAAATGGAACAACCACCCTGAAGAAACAAAAATAAAAACAGTACACAAATTATTTAAATTATTAATTTGTTTTTATTTTCTAAGACGAAAAACCGCACGCCTTTCCTAGGGAAGCTTGTACTTTGCCCTGTTATTTTCTCGAAGCAGCCAAAACTAAAAGCATATTTTTTGCATTGATTTTCTTTGTTGATGTCCCATCGAAAAAATGAATCTCTAACAATGAAAACTGTTCTGCCCTTCTCATTTACATGCCATAACATTTGGAATGTGTCCTTATAAAAAAATTGTCCAACCAAAGAACTATTTATCTATTTAACATGTGAAGGATTTACTGTAATAGAATGACTATAGTCACTTTCATCACAATTGAACCATTTTTCACTGATGTGATCATATTGTGCTATAAGACGAATAGTGGAAATAAAATAAGAAGATATAATTTTAAAATCTACATCTGAAATCTGATAAATACCAGGTGCCAAAGCATCACTGTTCATATACTTTGCAGTTTTACCTAAAAACTCCATAGTTTGCATTTTTTCTTGTTTTGCTGTTATTACCTCGAAGTGTAGTGATTACTTAGCTTTTTTTTTAAAGTGTTTTTTTAAATAACATCTGAATTTTGATGACTTTGACATCCAAGTTGCTTCACAAACAATATTATAAAAAATTTTAGATATATTTTTATATACACATAGATATTTTATATACACATAGATATTTATATCTATAATATATTTATATAATATATTATATATAATATAATATAAATTATATAATATATATAATATAATATATAATATAATATATTTATATCTATAATATATTTATTTACATAGATATTTTTATATACACATAGATATTTTATATACACATTTTATATACATATATTTTATATACACATAGATACATTAGATATATTTTAATATACACATATTGTAAATAAAGAAACTTTCAATTTCTAGTGGAAAGAAGTTATGTCTATATTATACAAACATGTCTTTAAAATATAGACACTTTTTATTGATGATATAGACATTTTTATTATTTTTGAGAAGATTAACATTCTTTAAATTACTAAATAAACATAATACGCTAGAAAACAATAAAAAAGCTGGCATTCAATTATTTAAAAAATGGGGGTAGAAATGAAGGACAAACAAGAAAACGCATATAACGCATTGCAAAAAAATCAAAATCTTCAAACAGCCAGACAGGCATTGGAAAATCATTTACCATCAAGTTCATAACTAAACGATTTTTAAAATGCAAGAAAAAAAATAATTTTAACAGCTAGCACAGTCATAGCAGCATACTTCAGATTAAATCCTATGGTCTTGCCATTAGCTTTTTAGTTGTATCGCTTTTTTTTTATTATATACATAAAAAAAGAAGATGCAATAATGAACCTCGGATCTCTTGGTTCTGAGCCAGATTTCTTATTGTTGAGCTATGGCTGCAAACCAAGTTTCTTTTCTAAATACTTTACGCAACCACTAAATAAAATTATTATGTTATCATAGATCAATATTACTGTTCAGTTTTGCTAAATTATCTCTTCTTCTTTTGAATTTACAGTATATATACTTTGACCATAGACTTTGGTGTATACTTTGCCATAGACTTTGATGCATTTGATTGAAGTTAGTAATTTTTTAGTTATTTAAATAGAACATTTTAAAGTCTTGTTTCAACTTATAAACAGCTCTTTTGTTAAATACCTTCTTTCTTTTTTTTCCAAAACAATTTGCGACGATTATTTATAAAGCTTGTGATGATTATTTACAAAGCTGGATCTTGAAAAGCATCTATTAATTTATGTTTAAATGTTTATTTTATGCTAGAACTAACACCCTTGAAATAGACTTAAATAAAAAACAACCGTACAATAAAAAACTGTTGATCTTGAAAAATTCACTTAATAA